CTGTGGCTCAAGTGGTAGAGCGCTAGCCTTGAGCTGAAGAGCTGAGGGACAGCGCCCAGGCCCAGAGTTCAAGCTCCACAACCAGATATAAAAAAAAAAAAACTGATACAGCATGATACAATTTACATTAAGTACTTTCTTGATGTATATAAATAAATTATATATGAGTATGTGTATGAATGTATGTATACTTTCACTGTTGCATATAAAATAGAAGATCAATTACAGGGCAAACAGAAAGAATATATTGTGGCTAAAAATTGGAAATTAAAGGATTTTTGTTATTTTTTTTCTTTGGGGTTTGTTTTGTTTTGTTTTTCTTGGTCATAGGGCTTGAACTCTGGACCTGAACGCTGTTCCTCAGCTCTTCAGCTCAAGGCTAGAGCTCTACCACTTCAAGTACAGAGCCAATTCCATTTTTCTGGTGCTTTAATAGAGATAAGAGTATCATAGACTTTCCTGCCCCTGCTGGATTTGAACCACAATCCTCTGATCTGAGCCCTCTGAGGAGCTAGGATTATAGGAGTGAGCTGCTGACATCCAGAAGTCTACTCTCTCTCTCTCCTCTCTCTCTCTCTCTCACTTTCTTTTTTTGTAGGTCCTGAGGCCTGAAAGCTGGGCCTGGGCACTATCCCTGAGCTCTACAGCTCAAGGCTAGACTCTTCCACTTGAGCCACAGTGCCACTTCCTGCTTTTTCTAATGTGGTCCTGACCAATCAAACCCAGGGCCTCATGCATGCAAGGCAAGCAGTCTACCACTGAGCCACCTTCCCAGCCCCAGTCTATTCTCTTTAATGGCACTTGAGCCACAGTGCCATTTCAAGCTTTTTCTTATGTGGTACTGACCAATCAAACACAGGGCCTCATGCATGCAAGGCAAGCAGTCTACCACGGAGCCCCAGTCTATTCTCTTTAAAGCCAGTCTTCTACAAAGTCTCAGAACACAAAGTATCCATAAATTATTTCCCAGCATGCAACATGAATAACCACAGTCCACCTCCCAACAGAGTCCCTCATTGCTAACTAAAACTTCAAGAGCCTCACCCTAACTGCCCATATTCTGCCTGCATTCAGGTCTTTAAATCGAGGCACACAATCATTAGCATGGAGCAGCAATAAGAAGTGAACCAGCAAGACTTAGTAGCCAAGGATATGTCCCAGGGACCAATAATCTCCAACCAGGTCCTACCTTTCACAGTTCTATGGCCTCCTATAGTCTATTCAAAATATGAAGGCTTCAATGGGTTAAATAATTCACCTGGGGCTCTATGCCACTGTATTATGCCTATAAACCTAGCTACTCAGGAGGCTGATATCTAAGGGTCTGGGTCAAATCCAGCTCACGCAGTAATATCTGTGGAACTCTTCTCTCCAACAAACCACTAGAAAACCAGAAGTGGTGCAGTGGCTCAAGTGGTAGAGCACTCCCCTTGCTGAAGACGGCTGGGACAGCACCCAAGCCCAGAGTTCAAGCTCCACAATGGACAACAAAAACATCATTGGATTTAAAATATTAACGTTTAAACTATTATCCCTTCACAGGCTCACCTAGTCATGTGCCTCCATCTAATATCATGTTTCTCAAACCAATCAAGTTGGCAATTCAGACATCCATCATCCCTCAACTGGACCTCAATATGACTATAACCTATAACAAATCCACAGCTTCACAAAGGACACTCATTCTAGTTGCTAATCAAGAAGTGAAAATAAACATGGTTATTAGCACAATAAGTGACTCAAAAGACAATACTTACTATCAACAGAAATAGAAGAAACTATCTTCTGTACTTCTCCCTCAGAAGCATAAGTCTTTAGACCTTTGTGTACAGGTTGAACATCAGCTACATCCACTTTTCCAGTACTGACTTTGTTCAAGGACTTTGAAAGTTCCTGTACATCTATCAAAGAAATAATATTGGTTTAGATACAAATTCGAAATCACAAATTTAAGCTATCATTCAAAAATTAGTATAAATGCTTGACATTATTTAAAGATGATACAGTATGATGCAATTTACATTAAGTACTTTCTTGATGTATATAAATAAATTACATATGTGTATGTGTATGAATGTATGTATGCTTTCCCTATAGCTTAAAATAGAAGATCAATTATAAGGTAAACAGGAAGAATATATCTTGGATAATAATTGGAAAGTAATGGCTTTTTGTTTTGGGGGGTTTTCTTTTGTTGTTTTATGTAGGTCATGGATGTTGAACTCTGGACCTGAAGGCTGTTACTCAGCTCTTCAGCTCAAGGCTAGCACTCTACCACTTCAGCTACAGAGCCACTTCCGTTTTTCTGGTGGTTTAACGGAGATAAGAGTATCATAGACTTTCCTACCAGAGCTGGATTTGAACCATAATCCTCAGATCTCAGCCTGCTGGGGAGCTAGGATTACAGGAGTGAGCTGCTGACATCCAGAAGACTACTCTATCTCTTTTTTTTTTTTTTTTTAGGTCCTAGGGCCTGAATGCTTGGCAAAGGCGCTATCCCTGAGCTCTTCAGCTCAAGGCTAGCACACTACCACTTGAGCCACAGTGCCACTTCCTGCTTTTTCTAATGTGGTACTGACCAATCAAACCCAGGGCCTCATGCATGCAAGGCAAGCAGTCTACCACTGAGCCACCTTCCCAGCCCCACTCTATTCTCTTTAAAGCCAGTCTTCAACAAAGTCTCAGAACACAAAGTATCCATAAATTATTTCCCAGCATGCAACATGAATAACCACAGTCCACCTCCCAACAGAGTCTCTCATTGCTAACTAAAACTTCAAGAGCTTCACACTAACTACCCATATTCTGCCAGCATTCTGGTCTTTAAATCGAGGCACACAATCATTAGCATGGAGTAGCAATAAGAAGCGAACCGGCAAGACATACTAGCCAAGGATATGTACCAGGGACCAATAATCTCCAACTAGGTCCTACCTTCCACAGTTCTATGGCCTCCTATATTCTATTCAAAATTTGAACAATTCACTGGGGTTCTATGCCAGTGTCTTATGCCTATAAACCTAGCTACTCCGGAGGCTGATATCTAAGGATCATGGTTCAAATTCAGCCCAATACGAACATCTGTGGAATTTTTATCTCCAACAAACCACTAGAAAACCAGAAGTGGTGCAGTGGCTCAAGTGATAGAGCACTCTCCTTGCTGAAGAGGGCAGGGACAGCACCCAAGCCCAGAGTTCAAGCTCCACAATGGACAACAAAAACATCATTGGATTTAAAATATTAACGTTAAAACTATTATCCCTACACAGGCTCACCTAGTCATGTCCTTCAATCTAATATCATGTTTCTCAAACCAATCAAGTTGGCAATTCAGACATCCATCATCCCTCAACTGGACCTCAATATGACTATAACCTATAACAATTTCTCAGCTTCACAAAGGACACTCATTCTAGTTGCTAATCAAGAAGTGAAAATAAACTCAGAAACACAGATTTATGTACAATAAGTGACTCAAAAGACAATGCTTACTATCAAGAGAAATGGAAGAAACTATCTTCTGTACTTCTCCCTCAGAAGCATGAGTCTTCAGGCCCTTCCGTACAGGTTGAACATCACCTACATCCACTTTTCCAGTACTGACTTTGTTCAAGGCCTTTGAAAGTTCCTGTACATCTATCAAAAGAAATAATATTGGTTTAGATACAAATTCGAAATCACAAATTTAAGCTATCATTCAAAAATTAGTATAAATACTTGACACTTTTAAAAACTGATACAGCATGATGCAATTTACATTCAGTATTTTCTTGGTGTACATAAATAAATTATATATGAGTATGTGTATGAATGTATGTATACTTTCACAGTTGCATATATAATAGAAGATCAATTTTAAGGCAAACAGGAAGAATATATCTTGGCTAATAATTGAAAATTAAAGGTGTTTTGTTTTTTTGTTCTTTGGGGTTTTTTGTTTTTGTTTTTGTTGGTCATAGGGCTTGAACTCTGAACCTGAACGCTGTTCCTCAGCTCTTCAGCTCAAGGCTAGAGCTCTACCACTTCAGCTACAGAGCCATTTCCATTTTTCTGGTGCTTTAATAGAGATAAGAGTATCATAGACTTTCCTGCCCCTGCTGGATTTGAACCACAATCCTCAGATCTGAGCC